GAAAGAAAGAAAGAAAGAAAGAAAGAGAGAGAGAGAGAAAGAAACCACCAACAGAGGGAAGAGACAATCCACAAAATGGGAAAAAAAAATATTTACCAGTTACTCCTTAGACAAAAGACTAACATCTAGAAAATATACAGAACTAAAAAGAAAAAAAAAGACTCCTCAAATTTAAAGACTCAATTCAAAAATGAACATCTGAATTGAACAGACATTTCTCAGATGAAGTACAAACAAATAAATATATGAAAATATCCTCAACATCACTGGTCAATTGAGAAATGCAAATTAAAACAACACTGAGTTTCCATCTCACTCCAGAAAGAATGACTCTTATCAAGAAATCAACCACTAAGAAATGCTGGAGAGGGTGCGGGGCAAATGGAACCCATTTCCATTGCTGGTAGGAGCATAAACTGGTTCAACCACTATGGAAATTAGTATAGAGGTTCCTCAAAAAAACTGAAACTAAAGGTTCCATTTGATCCAGCTGTTTCTGTCCTAGGCATCTTCCCACAATAGTTAAAAGCATCATAACACAATCATATCTGCATACTCATGTTCATATCAGCACAATCTGTAATAGCTAAATGTTGGAAATAGCCCATATGCCCATCATCAGATGAATGAATAAAGAAAATGTGGTATTTCTACACAATGGAGTACTACTCTGCCATAAAGAAGGATAAGCTTGAGTCATTTGCAGGAAAATGGATGCACCTTGAGACCATAATCTTAAGTGAAATAAATTTGACTTACAAGTTTAAATATCACATTGTGTCTCTTTCGTTAGAAATCCAAAGGATAAACAAGGACCATAATGGAAGATAGATATTGGGAAGAACGAAGAACATGTTCAAATGGGAAGGAGAATAGGGGAGGGGGAAGAGGGAGGGAAGGAAGGAAAAATTGAAAAAAGAGAATAGAAGCAAAAAGTGGAAACAAAGCTTTTGTAAAGGGAGAGGGGAGAAAGGGCTGAAGGGAGGGGAGGAGAATGGGAAAAAAAGTAGAATCAAAATATATTATGTACATGTACAGATTCTCTATGATGAGTGTGATCAATATGTATGACAAATATGTAGTAATAAAAAATATAAAGTTAAAAAAGCAAAAAGGAAACACATTTATTCTCCTAAATTAAGGCATAAATTTAGTGCAATTCCAATAAAAATCTCAATAAAAATTTTGTGGAACTTGACAAGTTAATTCTGAAAGTCATCTGAAAGAGGAAATGAATAAAAATAGGTAAGACCGTTTGATTATAATAAAATGGAGGGATCTGCCTCAATGAAATAGCAAAATTTCTGATAAAACTATAGAAGAAACATAGAAAGTAATGTATGCTTGGCTTTGGTTGTGTATTCCCAAAGTGCCTGCTGGATACAATATTACTTCTAAAGAAAGTTATTCAGTGTGAGTCATTTCTAACATAGTTGTATAATCATCTTCATGAATGACTGAGGCAATAAGCAGAGCCTCAAAAGATTTGAATATAATGATACTCTGGTGCAGTCCAACTAAATAGTGTCACTCAGACCCCATACCTTCTTCTGGAAGAAAACAGAACCTCATAAACAAAGAGAAAATGAGTTGAGTGTATGTGGATGCTTACGTAAAAGCTTACGTAAAAGCTCACATAACCCATCAGAGCTCTAGGATATTGTTCTTACTCTCTCAAGATTGGAGAGAGAGAATTTTGGAAGCCCAGGGTGTCTACACAATTGGAGAGATAACTAACCCTTGTTCCTGCATCTTCTTGCCAATTAAAACAATTCACATAGCACTCTGTGTCTCCTCCGCGAAGCCTTAACAAGACTTTGTACAGAAATATCCAGACTTGAAGGGACTTGAAACTCATAATTTGGGGATGGGATCAGGGGAAGGAGGGGAGAACTTCTTTATGAAAAGTTATACATGGGCTGGGGTTGTAACTCAGCAGTAAAACACACGCGTAGCATACTTGGGGGGAGCGTTGATCCCCAGCAGAGGAAAAAAATTAAAAAACTGCAAACATAATTACATATGAATAAGGAAAATCACAATAAATCATAAATTATTTAAAAATCACAGAAGCTAGAGAAATATTTGTACTATTAACTTCTTGATATACCTATTTTTTTCTCCTATAAACTTTGGCTGCATAACTTTGTCTACCTCTTCAAATGGCAGTGATTTTGTAAAATTGTTTTCTATAGAGGGAAAAGAAAGATAATTCAATCTTTTCCTGAGTCACTCTTCTTATGGTTTCTGGATCTCCATGTTGATTCTCTGCTTCCTGACACTCTGCCTCATTCACATAGTTTGACCACTCCACAGAATTGCATGTATAATTCTTCCACTTCACCAGATCATACCCTCTCCAGCCAAACAAAAGTGCATGTCCTAATAATTCTGATAAATTCTATTAGGACATTTCTTTAAAAGACCAAAGTCTTCAAAACATGAAATATTCAATGATAAAAGAGGAGAACTTATGAAATTGCTCCTCATGTAAATTTGCCCAATCTGTTAATCCTTGTGCCTTCACTCACCTCCATGAAAGCCTGGGTCATTCATCTGGAAATGCCTAGCCCTAAAACACAATAGAAATCTATTGCAAATCTTGCAAAAGATAATGGAATTTCATAAAATTGATAGAAGTGATGTTAAAGAAAAAAGAAGTGAGGTTGGTGAACTGCTTGGATCCACATGAAAAGTCACCAATAAAGAAGATCTCACACAATTAGATCAGGTAACAAACGAAAAAGAGAAAATCAGTAAGAATGATGTTGCCATCAATAACTTCAAAAGGAGATAATCTGATTTCAAGGAATTAGGAGAAGGGAGGAAAGGATTAAGAGAAGGATTTGGGAAAACTGTATAAAGCTCTTCAATTCTTTTGTAAATATGATCCTGCTACAAAATCAAATGCAAAGTGAAGGATAATGAACAATGTTAAAAAAAACTATGTCCCCCAAAATTAACAGTTAAGATATTAGAATTAGCACATAGTAACTGTAATCTAAAATGTGTTAGGTGTAAGATAAATTTAATTTCATAATTTTGGCTGAATTTTTCAAGACAAAGTCCTAATGAAATCTTTTTCTTTCATATGGAATGTAGGTCTGGATCTTTAATAAATTCAAATAGATTAAAAGGATCTTTTCTGGTAACAATTGACTTGGGAAAGGAAAGACCAACTGTATTGATTTCTTTTTTTCCCCAACCATGTAATATTTTAAGAATCTCCCCTATCACACCAATTGTGAATCTCCAAGAGCAGAACAGAAACTAGGAGTTTTTAAAACTCCATAGTTTTGACAGTCACCCTAAATGATCCTTATGGTAATCAGAAAAGTGTAGGAATAACTAACCACCTTAACTCATAGAAAGATTTTGCTTTGATAAAGCCTGTCTCTCTGCCCCTTCCCTTTCTTCCTCTCTCTTGCTCTCCCCCACCTCAGTTCTGGGATTGAACCAGGGCCTTCTGTCTGCTACATAAGCAGAGCTCTATCACTCCTGCAGTCCCCCAAATCTTTTTAACCATGTCAGCTGGCTTGTATGCATTGTATTCCTTTCTTTCTTCCTCTTACATTACCCTCTTCCTAAATCAAGAGAGTGTTTCCAATTTTATCTACGCAGTGTTTAGAATTTTATACCCTGCTCCTGCTTTTCATATTGTTTTATTTTTTTAAATTCAACCTCCCATTTTTTGTTTCATTAAAATTAACGCAAGTGATTTTATCAATTTTTTTCTGCATTTCCTCAGCCTGTATTCATATGACTCCATTTTACTCTGTATTCATTTGGACAGTAAAGTACTTTGCAAATATTATCCTGTTCTGCCTGTTCTGTCTGTTCTGCCTGTCAGATCAAACCCTTCAGACAAACCCTTCAGCCTCCATTTCTTCCGTATTTTCTCTAACAAGCCTAGAAGACTAAGGCTGACTAGTGTGCAACATGCTTCACATGGTCGGTGCTTAATAAATATTTTAAAAGTTTTAAAATGTTGCATACTTTTGACAGCTATGCCTCTGCCTCTCCCCATCACTTCAAGTGCCAACACTTTTTAGGTCCCTTCTCTGCCTAGCAACTATTTTCCCACAAACCTACATGTCCTCAGGTTTCAGCTAGCTGAAGTTCTCTTGATCCAGCTTTCCTTGTCTGAGTTGTAGAAATACTTACATTTTCCCCCAAGAAATACTTTATTGGTAACCCCCAAAACCCTGATGTGTGGCTTTTCCCCTTGGCGACAGTGAGGGGACAGGAAAGAATAATAGGGTTGAAGAAAGTTACATTTCACTTTTCCTCTTACTTCCTCCCTCCTCTCTCTTCCTCTCTCCCTCCTTCTCCCCCTTCCCCCTTTCCCTTTCTTTCCTTCTGTCTTTTCTTTCTCTTTCTTGTACTGGGGATTGAACCCATGGCCTTTGTCCTTAATGCAAACCTAAACCCAGCCCTTACCTATCTTGAGACAAGCTTTCGCTAATTCGCTAAGTTGCCAAGGCTGGACTTCAACTTGGGAGATGTGATTACCTTCACCCCCACCCCAAACCATCTTTTAAAGTCAGATACAATGCTTCTTTTTTGGATAAGGGTTTAGGATTTGCAAGGTGCTTTGGCTTCTGTTAATTAGCTCATTTATTCTTCACAAGTTTGCTACGTGGATAAATAGGTCATTATCTTCAGGAGAAGGAAAAGGAAAGGCAAACATTAAATGACTTGTCCACGGTCACGCCGTTTGGGTACACTCAGACTTAAAACGAGGCCTTCAGACACCAGAGCCAGACTTGGTCAGGATCACACAGCTCAACCTTAATAAACAATCTGTGCTAGGAAGCAGCCTCGGACTAACACAGAAGTATGCGCACAAATCAAGAGGTGGGGAAAACATTGCGCATGCGCAGATCACTAGCTGAGAGCCCGCAGGAGAAAGGTTGGGGAAGGAGGCCGGGATCCTCCTTAAACTCCACCCGCCAACACCTTACCCGCCTCCTAACGCGCAGGCGCATTTCTTAAAGTAGACCGTCACACGGCAGAAGGAGGCGGTGTCTCATAGTCGCGCAGATGCAGTTTTGAGCTGGCGGGGGCGCGCAAGATGGCGTTCCCAAAGTACAAGCCCTCGCGCTTGGCCCCTCTTCCCCCTACTCTTGACCCAGCCGAATACGACATATCTCCGGAAGCCCGGAATGCGCAAGTCGAGCGTTTGGCCATAAAAGCCCGGCTTAAACGAGAGTATTTGCTTCAGTTCAACGACCCTAATCGCCGAGGGCTCATCGTGAGTGGGGGGCTGGCCGGGCGGGACGCGAGGGCCGGAGTCTGCGGTCCCTTCAGCCTGGGGCTCCCAGACTCCACAGGAGACCTCGCGGGGGCCTGCATTCCCATTCCGGACCTTAGATAGGTCACATCCTTAGCCTTTTGACCTTGTTCAGAGAGCTACCAGTCTAGGATGGGCTCTGGATTCAGATCTGTCTTGGTTTGAGCCCTGCCTGGAACACCTCTTCCCTGTCTGGTTTTGAGAACGTTAACTCTGCTTAGCCTTGGTTTTCCTATCTGAAAAATGGGTACAATATGATACTTTTACGAGTCTGTTATGAAGATTAAATAAGACACGTACCTGGAGTAGCACAGTGCCTGGCATGTAACCGGCCTGTTCAGACCCATCTACGTCTCAGAATACGATGTATAATTTAAGAAACTGTTCCGTACTTTTCAGTTCACAACTCCTAGAGTTACTGTTCTCTCCTAAAGGGAATATAGTGATTTTTTCTCCTATTTTTTTTAAAGACCCTGCAACTTGCTGCAACTTTGGACTTGAAAGGAGACTGAAAGGCAATGTACTGGCCCACTGTGAACTTGGACAATTTACCTAGCCCCTCTAAATCGTAATTTTTAAATGTTTTCATGGGAACAATATACAGTGTTAATAGAATTGCGAGATTAAATGAGATCGTCCATGTCACATTCCAAGCAGACAATAAATGCCCAGTAAGCTGTTATTGTTTAACAAGTGTTTTTTTTGATAGTTTTATGTGCAAGAGCTATCTTAAGTATCTCAAATAAGGTGTTTTAAAAAAGACTAACCAACAGTTCATTAGTATTCTCTAGGAATTTTTGGAAATTGTGAGGACTGAAGGAGAGTTACAGTGTGCCTGACACTTGCTAAACCCTTTCTGAATATTTTTATTCAAATGTCACAACTCCTAAAAGCATTTAGCTGTACTGTCTTATTTTCGAGATGAGGGTACACTACGGGCAGGACACAGCTCATAGATATACCCACTATCAAGTCATAGAGCTGAATTTGAACCCTGGTCTGTGTAGCCCACAGTATTTGCTGTTACCTACTTGGCTCTTCAGTCAAAACCTTTTTTACTTGACACATCTATTCTGTACATATGCCCATAACCAAGTTTGATGTGCTGGATAGTATGATGGGGGCGGGGAGTGGGTAAGGCTTCCATCGGATCTGAGATGTGAACCCCAGATTTTTTATTTCCCAGCACAATGACCCAGGGAAGTTTCTGTTTTCTCATCTGTAAAATAGAATAATACTTACCTTTTTAGTTCCTTTCATTGAATGTGTGGCATAATCATTTATTAATCAATACATGTAAATTCCCTTGCCTAGACTTTAGGAATGATTGACTGAATAGTAAGTAATTGCTCAGGGTCTATTATTGGCCTATTTCAGATTCTGAGGTAACATGGAGAGCAAAGTGGGCAAAAATCCCTGTCATTGTAGAACTGTGGTAAGTTAAAAACTAAATTATGGGCTGGAGATGTAGCTCAGTGGTAGAATGCTAACCTAGTTTGCCTGAGGCCCTGGGTTCAGTCTCAGGCCCTGCAAACAAACACAATTAGATCATTTTACATATTAGATTGTGGTAAGAAAAAGTAGGGGAGGGGATTAGTATTTGTAGAAGGGAGGGTGAGGGAGCTAGCCTCCCTGAAAGGTAGCATGCTAGCTAGAGAGAATGAGGTATGAGCACCCTTAGGCAGTAGTGTGTTTAGCTAATTTGAAAAATACTGGAGATCCTTGTAGTTAAAGTAAAGAAGAATGAAGGCTGAATGGGAAAGGAAGTCAGGAGAGTTACCTAGACTTGATTACACCCGGCCTTTCACGTCATTGCAAGGACTTTTACGGAAAAGGGAGTCATGTAGTTTGGATTTTAACAAGATCTCTGGTTGCTCAGCTGAGAGTTGAGTATGGGGGAGCCAGGGCAAGGGAAGAGAAATGAGTTAGTAGGAGGCTGTTATAATAATGGAATCTCTTGATTGGTAGCAGAGGAATTGGAGAGAAGTGGTCAGTTCTGGGTAGGTATTAAAAATGAGAGCCAGCGAGATTGTAGATTAAATGTGGTGTGTAAGAGAAAAAGTCAAGAATGACTCCAATTTTTTTTTAAAGCAGTACTGGAATTGAATCCAGGACCTTCACACTAAATTTTATCTTCAGCCCCCTTTAAATTCTTTTTTTTTTTTTTTAATTTTGAGACATGGTCTCACAGAATTACTTGGGTTGGGCTCGAATTTGTGATCCTTCTGCCTCAGCTCCTAGAGTGCTGGAGTTGCAGATGTGTGCCACCATGGCCAGCTAACTCCAGGGTTTTTGACCTAAGCAATTAGAAGAATGAAGGTTCCTTTTACTAAAATAAAGTAGAATGTGAGAGGACTACATACGGAGGTTAAATGGAATATTAGGAAGTCAATTTGGGATAAGGGACATTTGAGATTCCTGTTAGGCAATATGTCAGTGCTGAACAGGTTGTTGGATATTGTTTGGAGTTGAGAGTAAAGGTCTAGGGCTAGATGTAAAACTTTGGGAGTCAACAACCTATAGATAAAGTTACCTGACTGGATAACATCATTAATGGAGTAAATAGGGGAGACCACAAGTTCTGATGTCCAATATTAAGAAATTGAGACTAGAGGAAAAGAGCAAAAGAGAAGAGAGAATAAATAGCCAGAGAGGTAGGAGAAAAGCCAAGCAGGAGGAGGCCCAAAAAGTCAAGTGAATAAATAGTTTCAAGGAGTATTCACCATGTTGATGCCACTAGTAGTCCATTAGATGTTGGGTGGTGATAGAAGGAAAACTGTTTGCTATGGTGGGTCTTTTGGAATGTGTCTTAATCTTTCTTAGTAACAGTTTGCACTTAATGAACCATGGTCATGGGGGCTATTGGTATTTTTATAAAATGAAGTATGTGTTTCTGGAAGACAGATCTGGCAGGTGTTAAAGCATAGAACTGTGGAAGATTGAAAAGTCTGACATTGGATAGTCATTCAAGTACATTTTTAGCAGAATAGATGTATTTAATCCTTTTAGGTATTGAGCTCAAACATTCCCTTGAACCTGCCTGTTTGTCCTTACCTGCTTTACTGTTTCTGTTTGCACTATAGGAATAATAAAATCTGCTGCAGAACATTATTATATTTTCTTTCTTTTAATGTCCATATGATAATATTAGTTTGTAGAATAGCAGAAGGTAGTTTTGGACTTTTGAGTATAGTAGTGAATTCTCACAGCTGACTGTGGGATGTCAACATGCCAGAAAGGTCAGGAATCATGTCCACCATAAGATTTCCATACTTCTGAGCTCCAGCTGATTATCTCAGGGCAAAGTTGCTGTGATTTGTGGTGTTGATTAGGACCTTAATTCATGTTGCATATTAAAGCCTGAAGCTGATTTTATTTGCTTATTTTTATCTTATCAGTTAATTGGAGAGTGTAATTCTGTAAAATTATTTGGAGATTTAATTATTAAATTTAATTATGTGTTTGGAGTAGATTAGCACCAAGATAAGCTGTTTTTCTTTTATAACTTTGACCTTTCTTCAGACTTTTTTTTTTTTTTTTTTTTGGCAGTACAAGGAATTGAATCCAGGGCCTTCACACTAAGCTACATTCCCAACCCTTTTCTAATTTCTTAATTTTGAGTCAAGGTCTCAGTAAGTTGCTCTGGGTAGGCTTGAACTTGTGATCCTCCTGCTGCAGCCTTCCAGAGTGCTGGTATTACAGGCGTGTGCCACCATACCTACAAAATGTTAGTGTATTATGTACTGATTTTTCTTTTAAAATATTAGCCAACTCAGCTTAAGAAATGTATACTTCAGGGTTAGGGATATAGCTCAGTGTCTAGTAGACCTAAAGCCCCAGCAGCAAAACAATTACCAATAATAGGAAAAAATCTTATAGTCCAGAGTTTTGGCCTACTTCTGCTTTCATCTTCCTGTGGCTTATTTGTAGCCTGGAAGACAAGTGTTGGGATAGCAGTAGAAAGGGTCCTAGATGCAGAGTGTCTTGGTGTGTGCCTGTAATCCCAGAGGCTGAGGCAGGAGGATCACAAGTTTGAGCCTATCTTGGGCTGTTGAGCAACATAGCAAGACCCTGTCTCAAAATGGAATAAGGATTAGGAATGTAGCTCAGGCCCTGGGTTCAATTCCCAGCACCCCCGCCCCCCCACCAAGAGCAAGCATAGTGGCACATGCCAATAGTTCTGGAAATGAAAGATCATCCATAAAACTGTATTTAGAAATATGCAGGTGGTACCCTTAACTGTTGTATGTAACAAAAGGCTTCTTCTCTGGTCCTTCATAGAAGTCCTGATAAATCTGTTTCTGAATGTAGCCCTTCTTAAGTTAACTGTTTTCATTAATTTTAGGAAGATCCTGCTTTGACTCGTTGGACCTATGCAAGATCAGCTAATATCTATCCCAGTTTCAGACCCACTCCTAAAAACTCACTGATAGGAATTTCGTTTGGACTTGGGCCCCTCATCTTCTGGTACTATGTTTTCAAAATGGATAGGGTAAGTAATAGGATCAAATGTTTAGTCTTAGTCTCTGTGTGATAGGCTTCCTGGGTAAGTGCCAGATGTACCTCTTTATTTTGATAATTGTCATCAGTGGCTCCCTGCCCACCTTAGCTCTAAACTTGGCCTTCAAGGTCAGTCTCTCAATCTCTTAATCTCTTAATCACTCTCTCTCTCTCCCCTCTTCTCCCTGCCTCTCCCCCTCCCCCCTCTCTGTCTTTCTCCCTCCTGCCTCTCTGTCTCTCTCTCTCTCTCTCTCTCTCTCTCTCTCATGCCCCCCTTTCTCTGTGTTTGAGACAGGCTGACCTTCAACCTATGATTCTCTTCTCAGCCTCCTGAGTGTTGGGATTACAGTCCAGTCATGTGCCATGAAACCTGACTCCCCCTTTCTCTCTCGTGTCTTTATTCCTTTCTAGTCAGAGTTAAAACATGTTTTCAATTACATGTTTGGTTTTACTGCTTTGTTATTTTAACTCATATAGAAATATATTTTGTTAAAAATCACGGTAGTCTCTGGATCTTTCAAATTTAATTTGATGTCTGGTCCACAATTTAAAGTAATAAAATGGTCAGTTTAAATTTGTCTAAGATAAATTACTCATGAGTTTTTCTGGTGGATTTTTAAAAATAATGTAAGAAAAGTAGACAGTGATTATTAAGTTACTTTTTTCTCATTAGAAGATACGTAGAAATTAAACTGTTCTATTGGATTAACCTTTAGGTTTTATCTTTGCAGAATTTTTAGCTTCCTTTGTTCATTTGTTTTGAAAAGAGATGATGTTTACTGGTTCACATATTTGGAGAGTACATAAATCATTTTCCATGTTCCCTCTTTGCATGAATTCTGGTTACGTTGGTCACATTTTGTGAATTAATGTTAAAATGTATTGATAAACAACAAAGAAGCAAAAGCAGCCTGGCTGGGAATCACCTCTGTCAAAGGCCTCCTGTGATTCCAGAGAAACAAGGTTATCTCTGGACTAGCCCATTCCACTTCTGCTCTAGTACCCTGGCCACAGCCCCAAGCCTGCTGCTGCAACCAGATTGGAGCCCTCTCGTCTATCTTGGTCTTGAGATGGCCATCCCACTCTTCTATTAGAGCTTGTGTCTTTGGCTACATGATGAATTGACCACACTTTCCCAGAAGGTGTTTGCATTTTGCTTTCAATTTATGCTTTTTAGTGGGTAATTTATTTCTAATTACTAGAATATAGGTGGTTTTGAGTAGGAGCATTTTCTTACTGTCTCTTTAGTTCTTCAGATTACTACTTCCACTCCCTGGGCTTTAGATAGTGCGATTGCCATTAAGTTTGGAGTGTTTTATTCTGATTTTCAGAGCTGTACTGTGGGTTGTGCTACAATGCATTGTTTTTCATCTGCTGTTTTTCTGTCTTTACAGGATAGGAAGGAAAAGCTTATCCAGGAAGGAAAATTGGAACGACCATTTAATATCTCATATTAAGTCTGGCAATGATAACTATTTTCTTGCTTAAATAAATCTTCTACTAAAGGCCGGGCATAGTGGTGCATGCCTGTAATCCCAGCACTTGGGAGGCTGAGGCAGGAGGATCGCTGCAACTGTGAAGCCAGCCTGGAGTGCTAGTGAGTTTAAGGCCAGTCTGAACTACATAGTGAGACCCTGTCTCAAAAAACCAAAAAAATTAAAAAAAATCTTCTGTTATTAACTATTTTGTCTTCATATTGCCTTGATTCAGTGTTAAAACTCACTAACACCTTAACAGAAGCAAAAGCAACTTACGCTGGGAATCACTGCCATCGGAAAGATGGCTAACATTCATTTAAGAATCTGCTTTCTAAGAGCTTGTAGTTTAATAAAGAAACAAATTTATATGTATTCATTAATCACTCAACATAGAGCATTAACTCAGAGTCAGGCATTGTGCTGTGTGCTCAGAATACAATAGACTCATAGTGCCTGTGTGTAAGGAGTACAAACTGATCACTGTGTACTGTGCAGTTACTTGAGTGCTTAGTACATGTCTGGCAGTAATGGCCAAGTCATACCACAGCAGCAGAACAGTAATAACAGTGTAAGAAATACAAGAAAGATTCAAGAAAAATGCTATTGGTAAGCTGATAAGGAAATTTAGGGAGATGGTATTTGATCTAGGCTCTGGTGTTGACAGGATGAAACAGCATGAAAGGGCAAGGTCTGTAGAGTGGCTAAATTAAAGGCCTCAGTGAGGATGTGTGGTGGAAGTCATGCTGAGTAACAGTGTAATGGTTAAGGGCATGGGCTTTGGAAGTCGGATCTGGAAGTCAGAAGGTGACCTCAAATTTAGCAGTTGGAATTTTAGGCCTCCATTTCCTCATCTAAGGTTATGAAGATAAAGTAGGGGTATTAAAAAAATAAGTTGCTCCGTGCCTTGTAGTTTTGAAATTGACAGTATCATCCCCAAAGAGTCAGATGCTGTAAATGTTCTATAGGCCTTATTTATATGAGTATGTTGGTCTTAAATTTTGAAGCATATGCGCTATTCTGTTATTAGTCTTTGTTACCCCCCTAAAGGCACAACCTGAGAAGAAGGCTTATATGCAAGTAGTTAGGATCTGAAAGAAGAGTGGTGGGGGACTAGGAAGAGGGAAACCCATCAAGTGTGTGCTACTGACCTGTTGCCTCAGAGTGATGGGCTCCCACAAGGAGTCTCAGAGGAGCCCTGTGGAATGCACTTACCTCCAAACATGGAAAAAGAAAATACTTATCCTGTCTCCATTGGTCAGAAGTTACTTCATGTAATTTCCTTCTACTATGTGAGAGTATAGAATGGCTGACTTATATCATTCATGGAGAAAGGAAACTTAGGGCAAACAGTTTCTTCATGTCCCCTGTTATTTGGATCTGTTTGTGCATGCATTGAGTCCAATCTGTAATATGTCCTTCAAGGTTATGGCTATGTACAATCTACACAACACTCAGTAGAGGAGGGTTGGTGGACCAAATTACAGTCCACACTGTTGGAACTGGCTGGGAGGCCATACCTGCTATCACCATCTCCCCCAACCATACTTCCTATATGTAACTTACTTGGCCATGACTTCAGCAGAGCTCGGTTGCTTCTGGATGGAATCACGAAGATCTTCATTTCTAGTCTTACTGTGGCATCATCAGGCCTCTGTTATAGCCATTGCCTGCTTACAGTCACCCTGGACATGGAACCACCAAGATGCTGCAGTGAATCCCTAGGCTCCAGATGTTTCTAGTCCACATTGTGTAGCTGTAACCTTTACTTGTAATCAGTATTGCTGTTGCTAATACCCAAAGCTTTTTGATCTACTCTTTATTGGATATAAAAAGCCCAAAATGATGAAGAGGTAGAGCTATAGATTATGTTTCTCTGATGAAATATTCTTCCCATACCTCACAGGGTGAATCAAGACCTACTCATCAGAACCTAAAGTTGTATAGGAGGGAGGCATTTATTCCACAAGTTAGTCACTGGGATGGCAAAAGAGGCCAGTCCTATTTTCTCTTGAATTCTAGCTACTGGGTCATAGCACAATGTTTATGACCTTGGTTCACTGAATTTACCACATGGTCAACCCTGTATCAACACTGCAGGACATTGTCCCAAAGTTGGTACCTTAGCTAATCCTTCAATAGGCTTACTGTATTCACTTGACAACATGACTCTGTTTCTGACATGCAGATCATGATGGCCAGCTCTGGTTGAATGGTCATATGATCCCATAGTGAGTGCTCAGCTGCTTTGGGGGTGGTAAATTGTCCTCTGTTGCAGAAGGCATGGCTTGATTCAGAACCTTAGGAGTGTGCAACTATACTATTGCCAGGACCCTGCAGAGACTCCAAACAGCATCCCAATTTACCATGGATACCTAGAGTATTGGTTCTATTGTGTTACATGATGGAAGTAGCAGCTGTTTACCTTGCAGCTTGGACCTGCACAACCCTCTGTGGACTACATTCAAAACTAGGGGCTTTATGAATCACCACATAAATGCGACACAGCAGTGTTCTCTAGCAGGATATGTGTTGCCTCCAGAGTCCAGAGACTCATCCACAAGGGGCTGTGCCTCCTTAGATGGAAGGGGTGTGAAATGGAACAATCAACCCTCTTCTTGGAGGGGATATATTGACACTCTGAAGACCACTGGATCCTTAAAAATATTGATGTTGAAGACTCCCAAAGCATTATACAGATTGCCTCCCACTTTATGCTACTTCATACTAAGGCACTGAAGTAATGGGGAACTTAATAGAACAGAAACTTTGAGGCAAAAATATTAGAAAGTGTGAGAAACTGGCCAGGGCAGTAGACACATGAAGTAGCTGTGTATAATGGCAGAATGCTAGAGAGCTACGATGTTTTGCAAAATGGGTCTTCAAACCAGTTTGGATTTTCAGCTGCCATATCATGCCATTGAACTTTGGCTAAGTCATATGGTTCTTATTCCCAATTTCCATGTGATTTCTGTTTCCTAACTTGCCCCTGCAAGTATAATTATAACTAACTACCCCTGCCTCCCCCACCACTTTTAATGGCCACTGTTCTTAAATTGTTTTCTAGATCTCAAAGAATTGTATTATTTTATTCTAATTTTACTAGAGGGCAAAAAATGGAATCTTACCTAGGCCTTCAGTTTTCTTTTTAAGCTAAGTTTAGTGTGTTTTTTCTTTGTATGCACATGTATGTGTCTCTTATAAGAAAATCTTAAGAGAATAAAAAGTCACTCCTAATTTCCTCACATAGGGAAGAAATTTTGGTACATATCCTTCTGAAGTGTTTTCCCCACTCCATGCTTATATATTTTTTTTCAACAAAATGAGATCCACTGTACAAAATGATTTGTAAGTTTGGGATCAAATGATTTCTAATGAGCATCATTCCATGTAATAATTCTATGACATTTCTAGTGGCTGCTAATAGTATTCTATTACATACATCTATTATAATTTACTTAGTTCTTATGATCAATGTAATATATGACCTTGCAGGTGAATTTTTGTGTTTGTCCCTAACTTTTTTCATAGGATAAATTTCTAGGAGTATTATTTCTGGGTCAATAAAAAGGCAAATATTTTCAGTTTGGTATATGGGTTTTATAACTTTGTGTTCCCAAGCAACGAATAAGGGGCCTGTTTACTATTCTTTTCAATGATGCAACAGAGCATAATGATTAGCAGTGGTCTCTAAAGCCAGATTCTTTTCCTTTGCATCCCTGCTCTGCTACTTGTTAGCAAAGTGACCTAGAAAATAGTTAAATTATCTTGCCTCAGTTACCATCTCTTCCTAGTAAATACTTCCAGTATTGTTTGATGAGTTATTACTTATAAAGGACCTAAAGCAGTGACATATAGTCTTAGTGTTTACTATGATTACTTTTAACATGATGAAATATTTTAAATTTGCATTTCATTTATTATTGAGTTAACATTTTTTCATATATTTTTGTCCATTTATATTTGTTATTTGCTTGTTCAAACTCACTGCCTATTTTTTATGATGTAATATGTTTTTGTAATGATTTTAAGGTTTAAGCAAGATAAAGATCAATCTTTCATTGGGAGTTATTCTAATACCCCTTATTAACAGAAAAAAAATATTTATATTGTATCCTTAGTGCCTATAGGTTGAAAGAAGGCACTGCCCAGGGAAATTTTGCATGGTAGGAACTTCTAAAGCATTTTTATAAAATTATTTTTATGGAATTATTGGCCAGTGTGTTCTAGAGAATATAATCAATTTCAAAAGTTTTTTTTTTTTTTTAGTAATCAAAAACAATGTCCCAAATAACACTGAGTAGTCTGATGAGGACACCAATTGCTACCTTGTCTGAGCTCCAAATACTGCCATCTGTCTGGCTGATGCTGCTAGCCCTGGGCACTGAAGCCCACACTGGTACTGCTGAGCATTTAAAAATGGCAAGTGTGTAGTAAAGAAGGTAGCTAGGAACAGATCATATGGCCCTTGTCACATAAAGAGACTTCAGTATGATTTTAGTGAGAAGCATTGAAAGCATTAAACAATACCAACCCGAGGCCAGGGATTTAGCTCAGTGGTTCCGCCACCTGCCTGGCAAGCTCAAGGTCTCGAGTTCGATCCCCATTACCAAAGAAAACCCAAAAAAACAATACCAACCCGATTAGATTTGGATACCTGGAAGATCACTCTGGTTCCTGGGTGGAATATGATCACAGGGCAAGAGAGGCTGAAGGAAGACCAGTAATCAGGCTGTTGATTATCAATCAGATATGATTTGTAATTTTTTAGACAGCCTCCAATGCAGAACAAAGCAGCCCCTGCCAATCCTAGGATGAGTCGTCTAGATATGAACTTGTCAAAAGCTTTATGAAAGTATAAATATATTATCTCTATTAGTTCCTCTTTATCCACACACAAAGAGGAGCCATTCTTAATTCCTTATCCTTTTATGACATCCCTTTTCCTTCTCTGGAATAGCATTGACCCCACAACAGGCTGGTTTGTTTAATACTATGTCTTTTTACCCTTTGGCACAGATCCTGCCAGAAAAGAAAAGATCACATTCCTGTTCTGATTGCAATTCCATTGCATCCAGTCCCTGATTTACTTTATGTTTTCTCATTCCTAGTGCTACCTGACCCAGTCTACTCATAACTTCAGAGGAGATACAGAATACTTGTTGCCTTTCTCTGATATTCTTCAGGATAATTAATGGGGTTCTTGAA